TGGAGTGTTTGCTTTGGGCGGGGCCCATAATGAGGGTTTCACCTTGTGGGAAGAGCTCAGGGCGAGATTTTCTAGCGTGCCATGAATGCTCTGTGTGACTTCGGAAAGGGCATTCCCTGTCTCTGGGCCCCAGTGTTCTCATCTGTGCACTGTGGAGTCAGTCAAGGGGCTGCTCTCTGAGGTCCCCGCGCCCTCCTCTTGACAGTTGAGTTCTGTATAGCCTCCCTTCCCTTCTCCCTTCCATCTAAACTCCTCAGGGCAGGGGGTGGATTTGAAGGGTTCATCAGTCCACGAACTTTCTAAGGTGGTTAGAAAGTTCTCCCGCTGGAGAGCGAGGCCTGAGGGGCAATTACTGTCCTCTAACCCAGGCACAGTAGGAATTTGGGGAGATCGTAGCATAAAGTGGTAGAAAAGAGACCCTAAAACTCAGCCTCCCATCCTCAAAAAACCTTGACAGGAATTACTGAAGTTGAGCTTGGGAAGCAGAGACCCTTGGAAGGTCAGGGTCCAAATGGGCTTCAGGTCAGATTTTTATTCCTTCTCGAGTCCACACACAGAAGGTAGAGGGGCTCCCACACCCCTGTTGTGGAGAAGAGTGGCTGTGGCCCCTGTCCCAACCAGGGAAGACATGGAGCAGGAGTGGAGGGGGCATCTCAGGAGGCCTGGGGAGATGATGCAACTGTGAGTAAATGTTACCAACCTCTGTCTTGGGCTGGCTGGCTGCTCAGGGGCTGGGGGCTAGGACCCGAGAGTCCCCACTCTTTCCCCGCTCTCAACCGAGGAGGAATTAGAGAAACTGGAGGGAGAAAGAAAAACTGAGATGAAAGAGGGTGTCTGGAAAAAAATAATAAACTGGTGAAAGGAAACTGGGAAGTAGGGAAGCCTAGCAGGGCTGAAGGAGGAAAGGGAGGCCGGAGTGCTGCAAGGGAATCGAGCCTGAGGGGAGAAAGGCCAGGCAGGCGTGGCCGGGAGGGGAGTGGGCCCAGAGCTGGTGGTGACAGATGGGTGGACACAAAGAGGAGAGCTGCGGGGAAGACAGATGGATGGGGGAGGGAAGAGAAGAGGTGGGGGGGTGCAGTGGTCGTAATGAGATTGGAGAAGGGCTCTGAGCTGGGGAGAGGTGAGTGGTGAGGAAGGAAGAAAGGGGAGGCTGCCTTAGGAGACAAAGACGACCAGGCCTAGGGGGCCAGGGGCGAGAGAGGGCTCAGGGGCCGGGTGCTGGAAAGGGGGGCTTCCAGCCAGGCTGGCAGCAGAGAGAGTGACAGATTGTGTAGTTAGCCAGAGTGGAGACCCGCTGTCACCTTCAAGAGGCACAGAGAGGTGGAGACAGAGAAAGACAGACTGACAGAGACCGTATGGAAGCAGGCAAGGAGAGAACCTCAAAGATGGAAGAAGCCCCAAGACGTACTGCTGCTTCCCAGGAACACAGCAGCTCCTGCCCAGCCTCCTCCTGCCTGCCTTGCTCCTGTGACCCTGAACACGGCCAGTCTCTTACCAGATACACCCCCGCCACGGGCCACTCTCTGGGAAGGGTCAGGCAGTGTGGCACAGCGAGGGTTAACGCCGTCTGCTCTCCCTGCCAGCCGCTTGCCTAGTTGGGTCCCCAGGGCTCCCCACATATGTCACCCCCTCTCCTGCCAAACCCACTGCTTCCCAGCTCCTCCAGGCCCTCCCCCCACCCTCAAGGACTAGGCCCCCACCCCTCTGTCTTCCCAACACACCAACCTCCCTCCTCCAACAAACTACCTCAAATGCTATGTGGAGATGAAAAGACACTGTAACAGTCTGAAAAAGAGAATGCCTATTAAATGCAAAATAACAATGAAACCATAGTACCATACTCATCCCCAGGCTCTGCTCCTCCTGCCCTCCTTACAGCAAAGAGCCCACAACTCATGGGGTTCTCCTTCCCCCTTGGGGCCTGGGTCTGCTGACAACCTGAGCTGACCTGAGAGTTCTCCCCAGCCTCCCTCAATCGTAATGCCTCATTTCCACGTGTGTATGAAACTTCTTGCCACCTTTAAATCACCGTGCACAAATGTAAGTTTTGGGGTGAGCACTTTTCAGTTTACCTAGCACTTTCCCACACATTGTGTGGCAAGAGCCCCATGAAGAAGGCAACATTATCCCCATTTCACAGATGACAAAACACACTCAGTCAAGGTTAAGCGACTTGTCCAAGGTCACCAGGACTTGTCCCGGGTCTCCTGGCCCTGAATTCAGTGGAATTAGTAGTTCTTTCCACCACTCCATGCTTTTAGCTCCTCTTTATCACACGCTTATGGTCTTTTTAGCTACTCCACTGAGGAGAAAAACTGAATCCCTGAGGGAAGACTGGGGCTTGGGGCCCAGAGTCCAGGATCCTGGGACGACAGATGCAGAGGAGAAGGTGGTGGTCTCCAGAGCACTCTCTCACCTCCCTGTACGATCAGACCTCAGCTTGCACTGGGGACAGCTTGGGCTGGGTGCTTCAAGGACAGAGGTTGCAGGGCTGAAGGGTCTGAACTAAACAGCCTGAAAGGATTCCTCCTGAGGCTGGCAACAGGAATTCGGTTCCTCCCTCCCTTCACTCAGTGCCCCCCACAGTTCCCTCCTGCTTCTAGGGTCTCTCTAGGTTCTGCTTGTTTTCCTCAAAGTCTCACCCTTGGAATCCAGGCCTCCCCTTTTCAGTAACAGTCCCTCATCTCTATAGTTCTGTTTCTTGTGTCTCCCCACCTTGTCTCCTGTCTGGTATTTTTGTGTTTCCTCACAACTGTCTGCACTCTGCCTCCTCCATGTCTATGCCTCCAGCCTGTCTTGGGGCCTCCCTCAGGACTCTCTCCCAGGATCAGTATCTGTCCATGCCTGAATAGCTGTGTCTCCCCATATCTTCATTTTGCCTAGGTCTGTATCCCCCTAATGATCTCTTCCTCTTTTCAAGTCTCACCCCATGTCCCCCCCTCAACCCTGGCCCCATATCTTGCAGCTCTGAGCTTCCACAAAGCCTTGGTAACCTGGCAATTCTGCTCCCACCCTCTCTTTTTTATCTCTCTGTCTCCCTATGTCTCCATCTCCCCATGACGTGTCTTCCCCTTTCTCTGTATCTTCCCCATGTTTGCTACCCAGTGACTGTTTTCTCATCCTTTTTCTCTCTCTCTGGGTCTCTATCTCCCCATGTCTCCCCCTTCACTTCCTCTCCATCTCCCATTCATTCTGTGTCTCTCTCTCCCCCATGGCACTTTCTCCTGAGTCTCTTGGTCTCCCAATTTCTTGGATGGGGTGGAAGGCAGGAGGGTGAGGGAGGTAGAATTGTTGTTGCTGGGGGCTCATTAGGTGGAGATTGGTTTTTAATCAGCACCATGGCAATGATGATGCAAGAACTGAGATGCCACCTGATCCCATGCCCCCCCAACCCTCCTCCCCAAGCCTCCTTTCCCCTCCAGCTCAGCCCATCTGCTGGCGCCTGGGCACCTGTCTGGGCCTGCCCAGGTGGGAGTTGGCACCTCCCAGACCTGGGGGTGGGGAGGGTTAGGGGAGCTTGGGGAGGAATTATAGGACTCCCCTTAGGGAATGCCTCACCCTGGAGAAAGCCCAGAAAAGGGTGATCAGCAACAAGGAAATGGCAAATGCCTCCAACAGCCTGAAGATGGGGTGCACACCTACTAAGGTCCCAGCCTACAAGACGCATTATCTCAATCTCCATGGCAACCTAAGAAGCAGCTATAATTAACTCCATTTTACAGAAAAGGATGATTGAGGCTCAAGAGGTTAAGTTACTTGTCCAAGGTCACACAGCCAGCAGGGCTTTATTCACTGTAGCACACTGTCTCAAGTCCTCCCAGCCACGGTTTGTTTTTTTGTTCTAGATACTCACAAAGTATCAATGAAGACATTCAACAGCTAAGTGGGGAAGAGAACCTCAGATAGTGAAACCCAGCCCACTGCCTGTCTGTGCTTCCCTTAGTCCCTGCTCTTGCCACCCTGCAACACACACACACACACACACACACACACACACACACTCAGACATGCACACAGAGGCTGGAGGCAGCTGAGCTATTGATGTGAACTTAATGCATATTTGCATATAATTTTGTATCTAGTTTTCTTATTGCTCATTTGATGCCCCAGCATACTTGAAGCATGCCTGGGCTGCCCTGCCCTCCTCCCCCAGTGTCCTTCTGACCCTCCTTCCCCTCTCGACACTCCTGCACTCTGCTCCCTTTAGCCCTTACCTCCTAAGAGCCCCTAAGTCCCAGTGGGTCAGGTTGGGCTGGCCAGCCTAGAAAAACTCCTTGTGGGATCCATGTCAGGAATCAGACCCTCCTCCTCTCCTGGTGATGGGGTAGGTGGAGGATGGGGGCTGGGATGAGAGGGTGTGAGGTGATTGAGTTCCAGGGTAAGAAGGGCAGGGACCTGAACAGTAGCCACAGGCGGCCTGCCGAGGGACTGGTGGGCACCAGCTTTGTGAAGGGTGAGAGTTCAGTGAGGGTGAGGACTTTCTGGTCCTCTCCTGCCTTTTAGAGCTGTCCACTTGCACTTTTCTAGATTTCTCTGTCAGTACCTCAGAGAGCCTTCTTCCCAGGGAAAAGGAGTCCTGGGAAGGAGCTGTCAAAGTCACGCTGGGACTCAGAATGGGATCATGGCGCTGAAACCTGGCTTGCTGGGGGCCTCTGTCCCTGCCACCTCTGGTGTGGGAGACTGAGGGGGTTCATCTGTGATCCTGCCCTGGCTCTCGCCCCAGCCCCACCCCTTCCCAGCTCTCCATTTCTTGCTTATGAAATATGCATGGAGAACAGATGTCCCTGCTCCCCCACTCCCCGCCCCCCCCCAGGGCCAGCCCCCGCCCCCAGCTCCCGAGGGAGTTCCCAGATCCCTCTGCCAATGGCTGCCTGGCCTGCCTGTTTAATATTGATGAGGGGGGAGAGCCTGGGCCAGCCAATGGAGAGCTGGGGGTGTGTGTGTGTATCTCCATATATATACATAGGGCTGGGCCAGCTCAGGTGTGTATGTGTCTGTGAGTGTGTGTGCGTGTGTGTGTGTGAGTGTGGGTGGCCCCAGTACCTGGCCAAGCCCACCCGCTCCACCTGGGCCCTATATCCCCACCATGTGTAGCCCTCTCATCTACCCTGGAGCCTGTACAGCCACGCCACGCTGTCCCTGAGACCTCTAGAAAGCTGGTCACTAACTTTGCAGATGGATGAGCTCTGAGCAGCCAGAGGAGACTGGGGCTGTCAACGCTGCCCCCTGTCCTGCCAGCTTGGATCCCCTCACAGGGTCCTCCTAGGTAAAGGGGGAACCATGGCTGGGGAGGGGTGGGCGTGTCCCTCCCACTCTCTGGCTCATGTCCCTTCCCAGAGCCTCCCTCTAGTTCTTCTCTCTCATGCGCTGTGTGTCTCTCCGTCCCTGCACCGCCCTCTTCCCCACTTCTCCCCTTTGACTCTTTGTGCCTATTTATTCTCAGTCAGGTTGGGGATGGCAGAAGTGGGGCAGGAAGTCCTATCCTCGATGCTTGGAATTGCTGCTCTCCTTGATCCTCGGAGCCTGGAACTTTGAGACCAGAGTGGATTTGGGGGTGAGGACTTGATGGGTAAATAGAAACTGCTGCCAGGACTGGAGCTGGGGAGGATAGTGGGGTCAGGGAGATGAGACTGGGGTCAGATTGGGAGCACACAGAGGGAAAGGGAGGGCATGACAAAGTGACCAGGGATGAAGGGATGAAGGGGATCGGGCAGAGGGAGAATCGGGCTGTGATCGATGTGCTGAGAACCTCACGCTGAACTCCTGAAGCACGGGGTGGGGAGTTGGAGCACTGAACGTGTACTGGAAGGTGCTGACTTTGGGGCCTCCCACTCTATTGCCATCCCCTCTTGTTCCTTTGGACCCTGGTATATGGGGTATGTTGTAAATATGAGGACTAACCACCTTCTGTTTTGTGTTATAACCATTTGTGTATGTACATGTCGTCAGATGTTGGTGACCTTACACCCTCCCCCAACCCCAGAGCTTAGTAACTGTATGTCGACTATAATTGAGCCTGTCTTCTGTGCAGTGGGGTGGGGCAAGGCTGGGGGGTCCTGACTCCTGTGAGGGTGTCTGTCAGGCAGAAGAATCAGGGCTGGAGAGAAAAGGGAGATGGTGACTGTGAAGGAGCCTCAGTGCTTCTGTTTCTGACTAAGTCCAGCTGAGCTCACAGTGAGTGGCCCACTGTTCCCGCTTAACATTCCACCCGCCCCCCCTCCCCCGAGCAAAGCCCTTTACCCAGCTTTTCCCAGGCCATCTTCCTGCTGCCTCACCCTGACCTCCTCTGGCCCCAGGGAAAGCAAACCTTAGCCAAGCCCCATAATGGTGGCCCCAAGAAGCTGTTCACATCCTCCTCTGCAGGTCATGTCTGAACTGACCTTGGGCTGTGGGAGGGTGTGGAGTGGACAGTTGGTTATGTTCCCTTTCCCAAATCTTCCTTGCAGAGGAAGGGCCAGGGAATGGTGAGGGCTCAGGGTATTGAGGACAGAGCCAGAGGAAGGGGCTGGTCCTGAGCATGGGGGCCGTGGCCAGAGGAGATACATTCCCCTGAGTCTAGTGGACAGGGTGGTAGGATCCATGTCTGTGGTGGTCATGTTGGGGGGGGTTAAGGGGGCTGGGAGAGACTGAGCTGGGGCAGCTGTGCCGAGCTCCATATGTCCCAGTCCACTCTACAATGGGCAATCTGCATGTTTATCCCCGCTTCTCCCCAACACAGAGAAGCAGCAAGGGTGGAGAGGGGCCCTGGGAGGGAGGGGATCGCGGGGTCAAGGCTTGCAGTTCTCCACACATGACTGGGAAATGTTTAGAGTCATAGCCAACCTCTCTGGGAGCTGTGGCTTCAGTCTTGCTCAGTTTTTTCTTTTTCCTTTTTTTTTTTTATTAAAAAATTTTTTATTGTGGTAAAAAACACATAACATAAAATTTACAATTTTAAGTGTACAGTTCAGTCGTGATAAGTATATTCACGTTGTTATGAAACAGATCTCCAGAACTTCTTCATCTTACAAATCTGAAACTCTTACACCCATGGAACAACACATCCCCTTCCCCTGCCCTCCTCCCCCAGCCCTTGGTAACCACCACTCTACTCTCTGTTTCTATGAAGTTGACTACTTAGATATGTCATATAAGTGGAATCATACAATATGTCTTTTTGTGACTGGCTTATTTCACTTAGCATAATGTCCTCAAGGTTCGTCTATGTGGTAGCATGTGACAGGATTTCCTTCCTTTTTAAGGCTAATATTCCATTATATGTATATACCACATTTTCTTTATCCATTCATCTGTCAATGGACGTTTGGGTTGCTTCCATATCTTAGCTATTGAGAATAATGCTCCAATGAGCACAGAATGGCAGATATCTCTTTGTGATCCTGATTTCAACTATTTTGGATATATACCCAGAAGTGGGATTGCTAGATCATATGGTAGTTCTGTTTTTAATTTTTTTAAGACACTCGATACTGTTTTCCATAGTGGTTGCACCACTTTACATTCCCACCAACAGGGCACAAGGGTCCCAGTTTCTCTACATCCTCATCAACACTTGTTCTGTTCTGTTCTTTTGTTTTGAGTTGCATTTCTCTAATGATTAGTGATGTTGAGCTTCTTTTCATATGTTTGGTGGCCATCTGTATATCATCTTTGGAGAAATGTCTATTCAAGTCCTTCGCCCATTTTTTAATTGAGTTATTTTATTTTTTGTTGTTGAGTTGTAGAAGTTCTTTATAATATTCTGGATATTAACCCCTTATCAGATAATATGATTTGCAAATATTTTCTCCCATTCTGTAGGTTGCCTTTTCACTCTGTTGATTGTGTCCTTTGATGCACAAAATTTTTAAAATTGATGTAGTCCCATTTGTCTATTTTTGCTTTTGTTGCTGTGCTTTTGGTGTCATATCCAAGAAATCACTGCCAAGTCCAATGCCATGGAGCTCTTCCCCTACGTTTTCTTCTAGGAGCAGCGTAGTCTTAGGTCTTACATTTAGGCCCTTAATCCTCTTGCTCAGTTTAATCCTGCCCTGTGTCCTTCTCATCACTTCTCTTTTCTGTTGCTCACTTTCTGGATTCTCTTCCCTTCTTCCCATCTTCCCACCTGCTCCTTTACAATGTGTCCACCTGCCTATCTCTCCTGCTGCCCCACCTCCCCTGCCCTTCCCCATGTTTCTGCCGGTCTTCCCCCTCACTTACAGTACCTTTGTGTCCCAGCCATGTCAAACCTTCTTCACGGCCCTCCCCATCTCTGAGCTGTCCTTCCTTCCTCCCTCTGCCCTTATCAATTTCCCCTTCTCTCTTCCAGGCTCCCGACTGGAACCCCGACCATGGCACCCTGAAGTGGCTCTGACTCCCCAAGCTCAGTCGCAGACCCCACCACTCCAGGCCCTTCCTGCCCCTCCCACAACCAGCTTTCCCGGTCCCAGACGGAGGGGTGGGGAGGGGATCCTGATCTCACAGGGCAGGGGGCTTCCATCATGATGCTCAACTCAGACACCATGGAGCTGGATCTGCCTCCCACCCACTCTGAGACGGAGTCAGGCTTCAGCGACTGTGGGGGCGGGGCAGGTCCTGACGGAGCTGGGCCTGGGGGTACAGGAGGGGGCCCCGCCCGGGGCTTGGAGCCCGGAGATTCTGGCCGGAAAGACCTGCAGCACCTGAGCCGGGAGGAGAGGCGGCGCCGGCGCCGGGCCACCGCCAAGTACCGCACGGCCCACGCCACGCGGGAGCGAATCCGCGTGGAAGCCTTCAACCTGGCCTTCGCCGAGCTGCGCAAGCTGCTGCCCACGCTGCCCCCCGACAAGAAGCTCTCCAAGATTGAGATCCTGCGCCTGGCCATCTGCTACATCTCCTACCTGAACCACGTGCTGGACGTCTGAACCGGGTGCTCTCCTGCCCTGGATGCGCCCCTCCTCCCGGGCCTCGCTGGGGTACCTTCTCACGCTCACCGCTTAGAACGGCCATCTCCTCTCTGAGCCCCTGCCCCCTGGCGTGGAGTCCTCCAGGCCCCAGGCCCAGGCAGAGTGCCCACCGGCGGGTCGTGAAGGCGGCTTTCTTTTACCCACCCATGCCCCCCCAGGGCTATTCTCATGGGTATCTTACAGTTTGTGGTTGGGGCCCAGCTGGATAGAAATGTTTGCTGGGGTGGTCAGTGTAAGTCCTTGCTGGCTTTACTAAGCCAGCCACACTTGGCATCTACCCCTAGCTCTCTCATGGGCTCCTGCCCCTTCTACCCCTACGTCCAAATTTTCAGAGACCCCAGACCCCACTCTGTTTCCCATCCTCTTTCCACCCTGTTCCAGCTTCGCTTGCCCACAGTAGGGAGGGGGCATCAGAACAGGAAGGGAGGAAGGCTGGGCTTAGAGTTGGGGTGGGCTTCTTCCTTGGAGATCTCAGTTTAGCCATGCTTGGCAGAGGAGCAGGCCCTGGGGAGGCAGGTGCATGGTGAGATAACAACTGTGAGGGGCATCTCAGTAGCCGGGAATTATGGAAAAACTTCCTGTTTTCTATCTTGTACCTGAGGCTTAGCACATGCAGACCTTGGATCTTACCTGGTAGTGAGTGCCTTGCCCTCTCTGAGCTATTTGGCCTCCTCCCTGCCCCCTCACCCCTACCCTCCCAATTTTTCCTTCCCTGTGTGCAGCTAGAGAAAGGGAAACCTAGATACTGGGGTGGGGGATGATGTCCCCAAACTCAGCACAGAGAATCTGAAGGCCCAGGCAACGGGTGGGTCAGATCTCACCTCTGCTTCCTGCATCCCAGCCCACTGTGAAAATGTGCAAAACCCACACTGGTTTCTCCCTCAGGGGCAGGGGGGATACCCTGTTATTGCCCTCTGGGAATACTCAGCTCATCTGGCCCTAGGGCCTGTTTATTACACATTTTTCTCCTTCCTTAAGCGGCTTCCCTGTGTTGCTGAGCCCCACCCGCTCACTGTAGCCGAGGGCCAGCAGTAGGATGAAGGGCCCTAGGACCTGTGTGAAAGCAATGAGCCCACTGCACTTCCCACGCTCCCTCCTCCCTCACACCAAACTCCTAGCTCTACAAGGATATTATTTATTTATGTATTTATTTATTTATTCATCTATTTATTTACTTATTTATTTATAAATATTACTATTTATTGCCGAATTGTGCACTTTGGGGTAGAGTGAGGGGGCTCCTGGCAGCGCTAGCCGGCTCTCTTGCTTCCCTCTGGTTACTCCTTTCCCTTTCTTGCTCCTTCTGCAACTCCAGGTGTGTGTGGGGATCCCCTTTGCTCGCCACACCTGTATCCCTTCCTCAGATCCCTCTGTCCTGACACCCAAGTCCTCTGGGCTGGTGCCCCTCCCCTAGCTACAGGGCTCCTGGATCCTTCCTCAGCTCCCTCCATCCCCAGACAATCCCACTGCAGTCCCACCTGCCCCTTTTCTCTCTCCAGCCTCCCCCATACCCTTCACTTCTTCCTAATATCCCCAAGAGCGGGCCCTAGGGGTCTGTGTCCTGTGTCCTGTGTGTGATTCCCTCCTGTCACTTTTCTGATTCCATAAAAAGAAAAATTAAAGTGACCTCGTTCTAGCACCAGGAATGCCTGTGGGTCATTTGATTGGGTTGGGAAGCTGGCCTGCAGGTTATGGTAGGGTGGGCAGTGAGGGTCCTGGGCTCTTCTGATGGGGTCGTGAGAGCTTAGTATAGTGGGTAAATGAAGACAGAAAGAAGGGGCCACAGAGTAAAGAGGAGCAGGGGAGGGCATTAACACACAGATCTCAGACATCCCACCTAAAGTCCTATGTATCCCCACCTTGGCACTCATGGGGTGACACATTCTGACCTTTCTCTTGTGCTTCTGCTTCTGGCTCTCTATGGGCCTGAGAAGAAGCTGAGTGTCCCAGTGGTTCCCAAGTTAGACATGTGTCTGTGAGTCTGTGCTGCTGAGAGAGGCCATGGCATGAAGCATTGCCCTCCCCATTATTGTCTCTGAGCTGGGTCAAAATTCCTTGCAATCTCAGTTCTTGGCCCATTTTGTGTTCTCCAACCTTAGGATCCTGGGGACAACACGACAGAAGACCTGGGACTAACAGAGGAATAGGGAAAGGGATAAAAAAGAGTGTTGAATGAACATCAAAGGAATCGTGGAAGGGACCCTACAATCAATTTATAGATGAGGAAACTAAAGCCCAGAGAGGAGGAGGGTCTGGTCCAAGGTTACATAACTCATTAGGGGGCAGACCTAAAATTCAAATCCAAGTTCTTTATGTCCTATGCTGCCAATGTCCCTCTGCCTCCCTGAAAGGACCCGGTCTGACAGGTGGCAGTCTTATAGACCCCATATTTTAACAAGGACAATGATAAACCAGAGAGTATTCAGAGTTGTGTGGCCGAGAAGGCAAAATGTCAGGAGACTACTTCACAGAAGGAATAGTTGAAAAACTGAGGATATATGTCTTTACAAGAGGAGATTTAGGGGCAATATGATACCCGTCTTCAACTATTGAAAGAAGAAACAAAAACAGACATTCTGCGTGGCCCCAGGAGGCAGAACCAGGACTTGTAGGTGGAAGTTATAGGAAACAGATTTTAACTCCAAGAAAAACTTTGCAACACCTGGAGCTGTCCAGCAATGGAAGCCCCTGCTTCAAGGAGGAATCCAAATCGACAGGCTGGAGAATCACCCATGTGTGGAGACACCCAGGAGCACACTCCTGCCTAGGGAAACTCGAAGGTCATCTGAGAAGGCTGAAGGCACACAGTGGAAGGGAAATGCTGAGCCGTTTCTGAAGGGAGCCATTTTCATCTCTGATAAGCAAAGAATGACATCAGCAACAAGACAGGTTTGAGTTAGACTTAGGGAGAAACTCTCATATGGGAAGGATTTGACCTCTTTCCTTCCCAGTCTAAGTTAGATGAAATGTTCTGCCCAGAGCCTGACAAAAGGGAGGGCTGAACCAAGGCCAGGGAGAATCTAAGGACTACAATGGGCAAGAGTTGGAAGGGAGAACGGATATCGCTGAATCCAACACCTTTGTTTTAAAGGCAGGTAACTGCTGTCCACAAAGGTGATGGGACAGGGATTAGAACCCGTGTCTTGCATTCCTGGCTCCCAGCGCTTTGTGACTTCCCCTGCGCAGCAGCCACAGTCCTGCAAGCTCACTGCCTCCCTCTCTTGTCACTCCGCCCCACTGGAAGCAGAAGGGGTTATGGGGCCCCTCCTCTCCTGGATCCCTCAGGGCCTGGGGGTGGGAGAGGGGGCAGGTGCAGCTGTTCTACTGCTAGCTCCGAATTTCTTCAGATAATCAATTGGCCTCGGCTGCTGCTTGGCTCCGCAGGATGGATAAGAAGGAGGTGGGAGTGGGAGGGGGAAGGGAGCAGGGGACCAGACGCTGGGAGAGGAGACTGTCCGGGAGATGGAAGTCCCAGGCTGAGGACTGAGGGGAAAGTAGAGCTCTGGAGCAAACAGACAGGGAGGAGGGAGGAAGGGAATGTTAGAAGAGGATGCATCTTGGGGCCCTCATTTCGCATCCTCCGAAACCCAGCAAGTGGGCCAGTAGGGTGGGGGAGGGGTGGTTCAGGGGCTCTGGCACCTCCCCCCGCAACCCCACGGCCTTTCTCCATCCCCTTCCCATCCATGGCCATGCCCTTCCCAGCTGTCCATGCCCTCTTCCATCCCTAGTTACTGCAGGGATAGAAGTAACTGACCCTCCAGTCCTGTCTGTCATAATTGCTCTCCTCTGCCCTCTTTGTCAGCAATCCCCACCCCCAGTGACAGAGCAGACAGCAGGGCCCCAGGGGTTTGGTGGGGGGAACTCTTAGCCACTCCTCCCCCTACACACATACACACACACACACACACACACACACACACACGCACTGTGTGGGCTGCCAGGCATATGGCCCCTTTGTGCCCACACAATGGAGGCCCTGCCTGTGCCCCCTTTCCAGTCTGGGCACGGGGGCTCCTCTACACCCTCATTTCTCTTCCGGTCCCTCATTTCATCCACGTTCCTTCCTTTTCCATCCCCAATGCAGTGCCTGCCTTCTTTGCCTTCTCTTCTTCCTCTATCTGGAAGGCCCCTTATACCACCCCTTTCCTTCATCTTTCTGTCTCTTTTTATGTCCTTTCCTGAGCTCTTGAAATCTGACTGGGTGAGGGTTCTGAGCAGAAGAAAGAAGCTAACAGGAGGGTCACAGTCCTCGAATGTTAGTTCGGGGAGAGAAGAAGGAAGCAAGCAGAGAGGGAATGGGGCAGAGTGGAGGCAGTGCAGCGGCAGCAGCAGCAAGGTTGTGCTAGAGGGGAGAGAAAGCCCCGCTTGGCAGCCAGAGGACCTGTGTCCCAGCTCCACACTTACCTTTACTCTTTGTGCCATAATGAGCAAACCACACGCCTACCTGGGTCTCAGCTTCCTCATCTGTAAAATGGGGAAGATAATATGACCTGCCTCACAGGGCTGTCATGAGGATTATATGAGATCATCTTGGCAGCATGATAAGTGCTCTTTAAATGGTACTTCAGGGGCAGTAAGTAGCAGTTGCACAGTTGTACTGTTGTACAGTTTGTGCACTGCACAAGGGCCAGGAGAGTGAAGGGGCCTGACATCCAGCCCTTGCTCCACCAGACCAGTCATGCACCAGTGAGGATGCATGCATCTCCAGAGAGGTGGCCCTGGAATCAAGCCCCTCATGTGCGTGCTGGGCATCAGTTAGGAGTCCAACCGAAAATTCAAGAGTTCTGACCTTCTAGGAAACCAAGATAGAATGGGAGGGGACAAGAGGCTATGGGGATAATGAGGGGAGATCCTCTAGCTCAGTCTTCTCTGGAAAGTTGGGGAGAGCCAAACTATGAAATCAGCTAACCTGAGGATGGAGACACTGCAGCTGAGGAGAAGAAAGGGGCTGAAGAAGCAGAAAAGGAGGGAGACCTGGGTTTGGGGATGTGATCAGAATGCGGTGTTGGTCTAAG